ATGTAGTGAAGGAAGTGTCCAAGACATCCTCTAAGTAGAAATAACAGGAGAACTAGTTGGGGTCAATCATTTAGGGTCTTGACTGTCCATATGTGTGTGTGTGTGTGTGTGTGTGTGTGTGTGTCATGGGAAGTATGTAAAATGACCTTGAAATTGAGTCACTTTTTCGTCTATTATTAGGATTTCTTATGCTGTCATAGCTAATGTTAAGCATTTGGGTGACAGAATTAATGTCAAGAATAGAAAATTAAGGGGAAGGAGAGAAGTTATAGGAGAGAAGAGTCTGGCTCTTAGAAACAAGTAATAACATGGAAATTTATCCTTTACTATCCCAGATGGGGTTTTATCTTACTGTTTCTCAATGTATTTTTTTTGGGGGGGGAAGCACAAAAAAATAAACCCCAAAGAAAACTGTATATGAAAGTCCCCATATTACAATCTGGAAATGATCAATTTAAAGATGCAAAAGTCAGCAGGTTTGGTATTCTGGATTTTCATGGTCGCATTCATCTTGTATTTGTGGTACATAAATATATCCTAGGTTGTTGTCCTTGTGTGGGATCACTGCTAAACATGTATTCTTTTGGGTTGTTTTGCCTTTTAGCCTTGAATTTTGGAGCAAGTTAATGTCAGATATGAATTTTAATGTACCTCCTTACTTTAGTCCAGGGGTAAAATAGGATGGAGAGGAATGGGGAGTGGAGCTTGATACTAGACCAACTGAGAGTCTGAAGCTATTTATGGCATTATATTATGGAATTATATTTATGGCATTATATTTGAGGTGGATTAAGGCCTCAGAGGATAGTGGGAAAGACACACTAATTTGTGCTTTTTCAATTTCTTTCGCTTTGCTTGCATGTCAAGTACTATTGTGAGCACTTTGTAATGTGTATTCTTTCATTTTTTTCCCCCTTGAATGTGAAGCTGAAGGCTAACTTGCTAAGGTCCCAAAGCCAGAAAGATAGCTAGGACAGGAACCAGGATTGTCTGGCTCTATGCAGCATGTTTGATCACCAAATAAATTTATGTCAAGACTCTTAGAGCATCCAGAACCTGGCAGATACAGAGGAGATGAAGGTGACAGGCAGACTATGCTAAACGGGAAAGGGAGGCAAGCTTTTCTTTGAGAGGCAGCTCTGACCCCTTCTGTATGGCACTTCTTGGCCTAGCTTTGCTGTGCTGAGAGGTCTTCACTCATTCAAGTGTTGAAATGCAAAGGAGGTGGTCTGCCTCTTTAAGTTTATTTAGCACTTGCCTGGTACTCCCAACTTGATAACAGTTGGCAGGTTGTTGGATCATAAGAGAATAAAGACTTCTCAGTGTCTCAGTTTTCTATTTTGCAAAATGGATACCATAGTCTTCTCTCTCTCTCTCTCTGAACTGTGAAAAATAATTATTATCTGTATTGAGGACTTGTGTGCATACATTTTTTCAAACTGGATGGAAGCAATGTGACCTTCTCTTGAACAGGCTTGCTTCCCCCCACACCTGCCCCTTTAAACACTAGTTCGTATGGAGGCTCCCACCCCCTAAAGCTCAGCAGGCCACCAAATCTCATTTCCAGTGAATGTCATTTAAAAGCCAAAGCAAGCTGACTACAAACTTTTTAACATGTGCCTCTCATCTGCTCAGCAGAAATCCCTGTAACTTGTTAATAGTTCCCTTCTTATTTTTTTGTAGTGAAACCAATCAAGGCCTTAAATCAGTACCATTCGTTCCATCTTGGGCCATCTGAGAAAACCATTTAGAGTTGTAGCAAGTCATATGCTCCATCTTGCACTTCCTGCTGCAGGGCTAGGGCCAGTGCCTGATGGAGCATACCTATAGCAGGACAGGACAGTGTGCTGAACAGGTGGTCTCCTCGGGGGCCACATAAACACCAGATCAGGGAGAGCAGGACAGGCTTTCAAAGAAAAGACACCAGATTCCTATCTCGTAAAACACAAATCTCTTAACAGCCGGAGTCAAGTTTCTCCATTTGTGCCACAGCACTTATTTCAGTGAAGTTTATGGTGTTTAGGGTCGGAAAGGAGAAAGATGGATAGGATGCCTCAAAGAGAAGAACATGAATTTCTGAGCTTTCTGTAAGGCACAGTGGACTAAGGTATTTGGATGTTCAAAAACAGGAAGCAGGTGATGTTCTTCCTCCTCCTTCTCCTCCTAGAATTTTCCCTTTCCAGAACTCCTTCATCATATCAAAATGATTCCTTATAAAGCACTTGCGGTTGACTACTCATGCTTTACATTACTTTAAACCTCAGGCACAGTGACAGTGCTGAGAAGGACAGAAACTGAGTTTAAGTCCTCATTTCCCAACTGAGAATTAAGAGGTAGAATGTGTTGCTTGTGGTCCAGAGCAGGGAGGAGGTCAGTGATCTGGAATCAGGCGTGAGATTTTCCCACCATGGCTAGCTACAGGCTGTATTTAAAATGTTGGTCTTTTCTATTACTGTGGAGTAAAAACCATTTTACTTCTGTAAAAAGGTAATTTGTTTATATTTGTAATTTGTTTATTTCTGTAAAAGGAACTTGAGAACCAGAAACAAGGTATAAAAATTTCCTGAAATGACTTTAAAGTCAACAATTGATTGGGTGAACTCTAAATCCAACTGGATTTTGAAAGTTCATTAGGAAAATTCTTTTGACTAAGGAAGAGATGATATTAGTTGGGCTTTATAAAAAATTGGTCCTGGATAAACTTTAGATAGGGCAAAGGAGACGGAGGGCAAGGGAGGAGAAATGGGGTAGGGAAGATGATGGAATGAGACAGACATCATTATCCTCAGTACACATATGGAAACATGAATAGTGTGACTCTATTTTGTGTACAACCAGAGACAAGAAAAATTGTGCTCTATTTGTGTACTATAAATTGAATTGCATTCTGTGTCATATATAGCAAATTAGAAAAAATAAAATTAAAAAAGAAGAAATCATAAAAAAGAAAAAAATATTGGTCGTAGAAAAAATTATTAACAAGAACCAGATTTGTACATCAACAACTAGTATTATATACCTGTGGATATAGGCAGAGTGTTTTTTTCCATCCATCTAAAAATTAAATTCAACTTCCTCTTTGAGGCATTTGATTCTTTATCCATACATCTGGGATCTCTTTCTCCTTCCCTAGAACACTGTGGGTGGTTTCTCTATAACTCAGTATCTCTGGAATCCTCCTATTTTCTTTGCAATTTTCTTGCTGATAAAAACATTTTTTTCTGCTCCTTTCTACCTAAAATGCCCTTTACCTTTGTATTGTGCTTAGTCCCAATAAGAGTTGTAGGTGACCTAAAGTGTATAGCACCCCTTGGAGACCACAGTAGGTGAGAAGCTATTGTGGGACAGTACCATGATGGCAGGGGGGAGGGAATTAGACTAAGGAAGATCCCACAGGCAGACAAAGCAGATGCTCACTCTGGAATTCAGTGAAGGGCTCAATAGGTCCAGCACTCACCACCATTTTTAAATTCCATTAGGAGAGACAGGAAATGGATGTTGCACTCTGCGACTTCTTGACCCTGGAAAAGAGAAGGCTTGCAAAGGTCATTTTGGGCCTTCTTAATCTGAACCCATTTGAAATAGGTTGGAATGAATTGGCCTTTCTTTAGTCTGCTTGTGTATCAACTACTCATCCAGATCTCATATCCACTTGTCCTAAGATCAACACTTTCAAATACAGATTCAAAGATTTTTAGAAGTGGAAGGATCTGGAGGTCCTTTAAGATGAAGTGCGGATTCTGGACTTGAGAACTCATTAGAAATGCAAATTTTCAGACCCTGCCTGAGACCCATAGAATTAGAGACTTTGGAAGAGAGTCAGTAATCTGTATTTTAATTAGCCCTTTAGCTGATTCTCATGTATATTCAAGCCACAGAATTACTACTTTTGGTCCTATGAAATGAAGAATTCAGGTTGTATATTTAGTTCCTAATTCTGGCTGAACATTAGAATAATTTGAGGAGGTTTTGATATGACAGTCCCATGCCCCCCAAACCTTCCTTTAGTTGGTCTGAGTTGGAATCCTGGAGCATCATCATTTTTGAGATGGCAGGTCCTCTCAGCTGGAGAGCCACTGATCTAAGTTAATTCCTTATTCCTAGATGAATAAACGGAAACCTATAGAGGGTAAGTGAGGTGTCCAGCATCATATGGGTAGTTAGTGTGGCAGAGCTTTGAGTAGAGCCCATTATCTCCTGACTTTCACATCAGCTTAAGGACTGTTTGGTCTCTTGTCCCAATAAATATCAAGATTCCAAGGTCTCTGATTACAGATTTGTTGCAGTCTCTAACACTGGATAGGCTCCTTTGAAGGAAGACCACCAGAGCCTCTGGACCACAATGATTTTCTTGTGGATTAGCCTGTTTTATTATAACTTAGCTCATACAATTATGCTCATATGTCTTTCATAAGACAGAACTTTAATCTCATGCCTCAAGTCTGACCACCTGGTCTCTCTATTCTGCCCTCCCAAGCCTCAGTTCTGATACAGCACCCTGTTCCAGCACCTGGTTTCCACTAAGATCAGAGTATGCTATATTTTGAGCTGGAAGACTAAAGATAGAAAAGTAGGAAACAATCACTGGTTAAAATAGGCATTTTGTGCATTTCCATTGAGAATGGGAAAAGTTGAACTAGTGGATTTTAATGAGGATCACTAGAGGTCTTATTAAAAAGTGAATTTTACAGTAAGAAATGGAAAAATGGATATTGGAAATCTTATTATAATTGAATAAATAAGACTAAGGCTTTACAGAAATTAAAAGAGAGTTTAGTGTTCTTTTGTGTCTTCCTCTTTATCCTCTCTTTTGCAGAGTGTGTGCATTTGGGTGTGTGTTTATGGTGGAATCACTGGGTATGGACTTTGACTGAAAATAAAGATGTGGGTCTATAGAAATCAGTCCATCTTGGGCATTTGAAGGCACCCTGTGTGGCTCCCATTTGGCCCAGGTAAACCCATCTAAAAATACTCAATAGTATTTATGTTTTATTTTTCAGGAGGCAGCACAGGTACTTCCCCAACCACCTCCAGCACTGGGACACCATCCCCATCGGCTTCTTCTCATCTTTTATCTCCATCCTGTTCTCCTCCAACTTTTCATTTGGCCCCCAACACTTTCAACGTGGGCTGTCGGGAGAGCCAGCTGTGTAATCTAAACCTCTCTGATTATCCACCTTGTGCCCGAAGCAACATGGCTGCCTTGCAGAGCTACCCAGGGCTGAGTGACAGTGGCTACAACAGGCTCCAGAGTGGAACTGCTTCAGCCGCTCAGCCCTCTGAAACCTTCATGCCTCAGAGGACTCCATCCCTCATCTCAGGAATACCAACTCCTCCCTCGTTGCCCAGCAACAGCAAGATGGAAGCCTACGGTGGCCAGCTGGGGTCCTTCCCCACTTCCCAGTTTCAGTATGTGATGCAGGCAGGCAATGCAGCCTCCAGCTCCTCATCACCACACATGTTTGGGGGTAGCCACATGCAGCAGAGCTCCTACAATGCCTTTTCTCTCCACAACCCCTACAACCTGTATGGATACAATTTCCCCACCTCCCCTAGGCTAGCTGCAAGCCCAGAAAAACTGAGCGCCTCTCAAAGCACTTTACTCTGCTCTTCTCCCTCCAATGGGGCTTTTGGAGAGAGGCAGTACCTGCCCACAGGGATGGAGCACAGCATGCACATGATTAGCCCTTCACCTAATAATCAGCAGGCAGCCAACACTTGTGATGGCCGGCAGTATGGGGCAGTCCCAGGTTCCTCCTCCCAAATGTCTGTACACATGGTTTAGAGGTCAGTCCAAACACCATGGAGCCTACGGGAGTCAAGCCCCCAGAGTCTCCGTGGGCAGATCCTCCTCTTTGGGAGCCCCGTGCCTTTGGAAAATAGGAACTGTGTATTTTTTTTTTCCTGGAGGGGGAAAACACATACCCAAGAACAACAAGAGACACTTTTGAGCCACTGAAGAATACTTGCAGTGAATCATCCACAGCTCAGTGGCCATTCTCCTGCCTTCCCAAACCTTAGTTTTATAAAGCATCGTCTATGCCAGAGTGGCTTTTGAAGAGACTGAATAATCGTTTTATAATAATGTTAAGAGAGATGCTAGCATGTAGCAGCCATGAAAAGTTACACACACACACACACACACACACACCCAGACCTACCTATACCTACTTACATGCATACATACATGCACATATACAAACCTACACATACACAAATCACCCTGCACACTGACTCTGAACTGGGTGAACTCTGTGGATGGAGGCCCAGAGTGGGTGCTTTCACCAAGAATTTGTCTATGTACAACACTAGATGGACTGGGCCAGAAGTAGCCATCAGCCTTTCTTGCCTGCAGCTTAACCTGCTTCTGGAAAGAACGGTGTATCCTGGAATCCCTCTCTGCCTCTGAGGGTGACTGGACTTGGCTTCCTTAAATTGCTTTTAAACTTGGGCTCTCTCCACGGAGTGTGCTGTCCTTGATATTCCCAGTGGTGCGGTAAAAAGGGAGTGAGAGCTTCTGAAAGAGAGAGAGAGAGAGAGAGAGAGAGAGAGAGAGAGAGAGCGAGAGCAAGCAGGAGAAAATGGAGAGCAAGACAGAGAGAGAGAAGGTGTGAGCAATGAGAAGAGTTTCACCAAGGAAATGCGCTAGAGTTTGTTTCCCCGCTACAGGATACAGAAGGCATCATGGTGTTACTAAGGAATAAATCTCTCTGGGACACTGTGCATGGTCAGGGCACCAGTGAGAGGGGCCCAGGCAAGGAATGTATCTCCATCCCACGTTCTGACCACTGTGATCCAGAAGAGAGAAGCAGCACATGGGAGTTGCTGATCCCACAGCATGCAGCCTGGCAGAGTGGGGAAAGAGAAGAAACGCGAAGAAGGAAGAATTTTATAATTCCCCAGGTGATATCAAGAGTAGAGGCAGCAAATAGAGGCCTGGCCTCCACATGCCTCCACAGCCTGAGCTGGACCGCCAGACCACTGGCCCCCAAGGCAGAGAAACTCTGTCACGTTCCAGGGAATTACAGATGGGTCTCCTACATGTTTCCACTTGCCTGTAGATCTCCATTTTTGTCAAATAGTTCATTGCATTTTGAAGTTTGGGGTTTTTTTCTTTCATCTTTCCTTTTCCCTTCAGATCCTTTAATGATAAGAAAACAAAGCGAAGCTTGGTACAAGCTAAAATTTTTAAATGGTGTGGAAATGCAAATAATGCCAAGTAAAATAATACAGATAATATTAAGATTTTTGGTTTTGAGGTGTTGTAGATAAATGTATTTATATGCCTAGTGGGGAATCCAATATTGAATATTAAAAAAGGGGGCAATAAAAGGGTGTGTAAAATATGTATGAAGAAAAGGTGTATAAAAATTTGCCCTTATGCACGGAACTGTTTCTAAGTGCCAAGCACAGAATGCCGCTAAATAAAATCTTTGCAATTTTTTTTGGAGTGTTTGTTTTTACAGAAAAATGAAATAACAGGCTTGCGTATTTGTGTTCTGCTTTACAATGAGCATGGCACATTCATATATACTACCCTATGTGATCTTCATACAGACTCCAGAAAGTAAATATCATTATCCTCATTTTACAGTCAGTAACTGAACTGCGGAGAGATTGAGCAAATTATCCAGGACCATACAATCCATCAGAGAGGGAACTAAGACGTAAAGCCAGGTCTTCTGACTTTAATGGGATTTTTTTTTCTTTCATTTCAGCTGCAGAAAATCATGTGAGTATAATAATAATCCTTATTGTTGCTCTGTGCCAGACACTATACAATGGGTTTTACATAATCATCTCTTCCTCCAACAATTCCGTGAGATGGGTATTATTTAATCATCATTTTGTAGATCTGGAAGAAAGCTTTTAAACACTGGCTGATGACCTCAGATAACAAGTGATGGAGCTGGAAGTCTGACCTTCAGGTCTGTGCAATTAGCACCACGTCATTTAGCCAGGGCTCCAACAATCCTGGAAAGGATGTGGATGATCAGGAAAGGAGACATGACCTAAGGGGTTGAGGCAAGAGTCCCTCTGAGATTGGAGTTTGCTTGATATGTTTAATTGTAAATTGAACAAATCACTATGGCGTGGGAGAAGCGGTTTTGAGCTTTCATGCACCAAGTGATAATTTATAAAAAACTAATAAAGTGTTTGGGCTATGCCATTTACAAGTACTTTCACATATTTTCTTTAAGGCTCACAATAACCATGAATGGTAAACAGGGCAGCAGGAAGCATTGTTTGTATATGGGGAAGTAGGACCATAAAGAGTTTGACCTGACCATACTTAGGTGTATGGGGAGCAACAGAATGAGGACATGAAATCTTCTGCTCTTGCCCTACCCCAGACTATTTGCTGGTTAACAGCTATATTGGTTTCTCACTGATTCATTTTATCAGAATTAATTTGAGGGGCTCAGGTTCCCAACTACCACACTCTTTCATTAGAAATGAAGCTGAATTGGGGAAGCAAACACCTTAGTTAATCATTCTTTTGATTTTTGCAAATAACTTCAACAATGCCAATAAATACTATCAACCCTTAGGTCATTGCCAACATAGTCGAGACAATGACCAACTGGTTACCTGCATGTATTTCAGGCTGTCTGGGTATGACCGGTTTCAAAACTTAAAAAGACACTCTTATTAAGAAGCCTTGTAGGGCTGGGGATGTGGCTCAAGCGGTAGCACGCTTGCCTGGCATGCGTGCGGCCCGGGTTCGATCCTCAGCACCACATACAAACAAAGATGTTGTGTCTGCCGAAACACTAAAAAAAAATAAATAAATAAATATATATATATTTAAAAAAAAAAAAAAAAAAAAAAAAAGAAGCCTTGTATTATTCTTTGGCATAAAGGTAGACCAAAACCAACTATTTCTTTTTGATTTATTGGCATACTTAACATTGCCATTTGGCTTAATGCCCTTTGAGGTTTTAGATAATAATCATGACATGGCAAGCAACTCACTTGGCATAGAAATCTCCAAATTGTCATTTAATAATAAAAACAATCATTTAAGCAATCATGTAGAATAGTAAATACAGAATACTTCTGTAATTAGTATTTATTAGAATAAGCCCAGTCAATTACATCTGAATTACAGTATATGCTTCCATCTGTACCTGAGGAAGTAATTTTTTCAACAAAATGAATAAACACTTGTCAGGAATATGTTCTTCCAATTCCTTTTAGTGAAATAGTGAAAATTCTTGGTAATAGGCACAGCGATTACATTCAAAGGGCTATTTATTAAAAGGATTGTGCCACTACAGGTTGAGATGCACCATCCTTGCTTGTGTTTCCTTGGGAAAGTCTTTCTCATTCATGTGTGCATCCTCAGTGCTCAGGACAGACAGTTCATGGCCTCTTTACGGAGCCTCAGTACAAATTTACACTTATTGTTGAATTTGTTGATCAAATCTATTTTTCTAGGTCGGCGCAAAATGATTGGCTGAATTATTATTCTCCCCAAATTAAAGGGATCTAAACTAAGACTTATTGTTCTTCATAAGGTATTCTATTATAAATTAATGTACATTTAACTTAGGAGCTAAAAGGCATCATACATAATGAAGGATAAAAAAAAAACCATACATGCCACGATTTCTTTCCTGAAAAGGCTCACTTTTCAGGCAGTCGGGTTCCTCTCTGGCAAACGTTATGAAAGCCTCTGGTCCTTCAGGGAAAATGCTCAGGGTAAGAAGGTGAGGCTGAGGTTATTTTTTTCTGAAGGAGGTAGAATTTGAATTGAGCTTTAAAAGATGTTCAGAGTTTTTTGTAGATGCAAGGAATTGGTAGGTTTCATCATGAAATAACTTTAAAAGGCAGTTAAGTAACTTTTGAGGGAAAAAGATAGCATTTCGATAAAAATGAGCCATTTAATCAAGTTGGACACATTCAGAAACTTCTAGTAGACTACAGATTAACATCTTCCTCTATGAAATATTTTCTCATTAGTGGAAGTGTTGAGGGCTGAAATTCAAGAGAAAGACTGCTTGGTCAATGCCAAATGTTTGATTCATTGCTCAGTACTTTGACAATCTCAGAGGAACTCTACTGTACTGATTGCATTCAATAAGTTATGGGAGAATTGTCTTCTCAAGGAAACCCAGGAACAAAGATATGTTTCATAAAAGCATTTTTTTTCTTGCTTATGGTCATCAATAAATAAAGAAAGATTTTATCTCAACATCCATGACCAACTTCATTCCTTAATATGGTTCAATTAAATAAATATTTATTTGATGTCTGCTTTGCATCAAGTGCTTCTCTAAGCACTGAGAAGACATCAGTGATCAGATACGCTCATGCCTTCAAGGGGCTCATGTCCTGGTGGGGGGCTGATATCAAATACACTGGCAAGTAATTGAATAACGTAATTTCAGATTGCAATAATTATTTTGAGGAAATTAAAATAATAGAATAATAGAGAATGACTGGGGAATGGGGGTGAAGGCCCACATAGGTAGGAATTACTAGAGGGCTGCTCTACTTGGTGACATTTGTGCTAGGACACATACACACGTTACCTTTGAATTTGCTCACTTGAAGACATGCTGAGGGGGTCATATCCTCACTGGAAGAGAGGCTCTGCTCATTTTGGCTCAGCGGAGGCCAAGCATTTTTGTCTTTACAATGGCTTTATAGCAGCAATACTTATTTACCAAAGGCTTCCATGTTTGGGCCATTTAGAGATTCCTAATTTCTGAATCTATCTTCTGTATGGCCCCAATAAAGTCATATTTTCATGACTTTCTTATCAGGGGTTGAGAGGCATTCCTTCTATTTGTGGCAAAAGACTAAAACTAATGATCAAATAGCAACAATCAGATTGATAATGAAAACTAATAAATAAAAAATTAAATAAGGTTTGGTATTCTACAACTTTCTCAGGACTGCTCTATGTAATATTGGGATATATGGAATGGAATTTCTACCTTGAAAGAGATTTCAACCTGCTGGAGGAGTAGAGATAGGTTCATATGGAACAGTGAGCAATCATAGTATTAAATCCGTGGTAAAGACCATATATGCTGCAGAATTTCAGAAGGAAACTAATTTTTATTGAGTGTTTATTACATATTACACATTGTGCAAGGCAGTATCCCACAGTCCTTGCAATCAACCTATGGGATTTGTATCTCAATCCCTATTTTATAGATGGGAAAACTGAAACTCATAGGGGTTCGTAATGTGCACAAAATCACCGAACTTGAAAGTCACACTGTATTTTTTAAAAAACGAGATTTATAGGAACTAAAATAAAGAGAGATAGGTTTGGGGAAAAGGTTAGACGTGAGTGGAACTCTGAAGGATTGGTGGAAACTGTATACGCTGAGGAGAGAGGAGGGTGGTCTGGTGTGAGGGTGGGGGGCAGTGCAGTACAGACACGTCTCTGTATGGGTCAGTGAGCTGTGGCTGCAGACCGAGGGTGAAAACATTCACGTCCTAAGTCATATGTCATGATATTCTCCCTGCTGCTTCTGGCACCACGACTCTGGATTTCCTTTGCCTATGTGAGGTGTGCTGGCCCTGTAACTTGGGAAACTCAGGATTTCCTCTCGTGTCTCAGTGGGAACATCAACCTAGAAAGGACCAGTGGGGGCTGGGAGGCGGTGGAGCATCAAGTGACTTCCCCCAACACCTCCACCCCACTCCCCGGCCAGGCCCCAGGGATAGCTCAGCTGCCACAGTCCTTGGGTTGGACTCTGCTCAGAGCCCCTTGCTTTCTCCAGCCAGGCACGCAGTGCCACGTGGGATGGTGAAAGGGGACCTTGCTGCTTAAATCCGAGAAAACATTCATCATGTTTTCCTTCTTAGCTCATTTTACTACCCGTAGCACTCATCTTTTATGGGCCAGCCTAACGGCGTTTCCCACTTCAGATGCTTCCTACTAACACGTTCTGCTTTTATTAGACTTTATTGCAAGCCCTGCAGAGGCACAGAAAACCAAAGGGGTTTTGAGTCATTTTTCGGTATTTTTCACCCAGGGAAGCCAAAGTGGACAAAGGGGGCTGCCAAAGGATTGCCATAATCAACCTCCAGCAGTTAGGGAAAGTGTTCTGACTCCATGACAAAGGCCCTTGGAGTTCTCCTGGTCTCCTTATACTCCTAACCTTCCCCAACACACAGGCAGGCAAAGCCCCTCCTAAACTGTCTCCAGGGGACTTAATAGATAAACCCAAATCTTAGGATATTAGTGTTCATTTTTCCTTCATCTCATAATCGTTGGGGTTACTGGCTCTTCTCCACAGTGATTCAGGAAACCAGGCTCTTTCCATTTTATGGTTTCACCGTCTTCAACACATAGCTTAGCACCTCTCCATTCAGGTAGCAGACGGGGAAAGAATGAAAAGTTGAACTTGATATGTATTTATAAGCCAGGACTGGAATTGGTTATATGATTTCTCCCCTACTCTAA